CCAGAATCCCTCCCCCAGTCATGTTAACTCAGGAACTCTGGGAGTTGAAGTCCACAAGTCTTAACGTTGCCAAGGTTGGACACCCCTGCTGTAGAACAAGAGCCTTCAACCGTGGCAAGTTTAAGACTTGTGGACTTTAACTCCCAGAGTTCCTGAGCTAACATGACTGGGGGAGGGATTCTGGGAGTTGAAGTCCACAAAGCTGTCAAGTTTGAAGACCCCTGCTCTCTAGAGAATCGAAAGCAAGCATCAACCCAGTCCTGCAGTTGTTCACATCTGGGACCAAAACACTAAATGCATGCATCTGTTAAGTGATGCTTGGTTTGTAAAAAGAGAGAGAGAAAAACAACCCCAAAGATTAGATGTAGCTCATGCTTGAATGTGTACATCCCACCTCTTCAAAAATAGCAGCCTTGGGAAGGATCCCTCATTGGGGAGGAAGTGGCACACAGGAAAAAAAAAATATTTTTTCCTGGAGAAACTTTTGCCTAGGTGCCAAGTACATAAAAAACACCTTTGCCCTCTGGTTTCTGAAAGCATTTTTTTCCAGGCTACCATGTCCAAATGCAAAAAGCAGCATTGTCTTTGGTTACTGCAAGAAGCAGTTAGATGTCTACAGCTGTGCAGGCCTCAAGGCCAGCCAGATGTGCAAGTTGCAACGCATTAAATGCTGCTTGAATAACTAGGGGGCATTGTGGGTGGGTGGGTGGGGGGTGGCTGGTTCAGGGAAAGACAAAGATTTGAAGGCCCAGGGAAGCAATTTGGAGATGTGAGGGTGCCGCCAGGAATTAATTGCCCAAATGGAGAGAGGGGTACCTTTAGGCAGCCCAAATGGAAATCAAAAAGGCTACTTCAACAGGTTGACATTTCTGTGACAAAACATCTTTCAATGTTTTTTCTTTTAAGATGTGCAGACTTCAGCTCCCAGAATTCCCCAGCCTGGCTGACTGGGGTACTCTGGGAATTGAAGTTCACGCATCTTACAGCTGCCAAGGTTGATCGAATCTGAGGTCACTAGGAAGTGGCGGTTATTCTTTGCAAACCCCGAAGCCCAGAACAAACTCTCTGAACATCAGAATCTCAATCTTGGCTTGTTTAGGCAGCAACCACAATCCTCCTGAACTCCGATGGTATGGCTTTTCCTTCCCAGAATGCTGCTCTTTTTTTCCCTTTCTTCCCCTTTTTCTCCTTGTGTTTTATAACTGCTAAAGCTGGAATGTTGTTGTCCTGAGAAAATCCAGACTTGAAAAAAAAGAGAGAGAGAGAGAAGAAAATATAGCTATTTAACATAGAGAAGGATATTAAATTGTGATATTTTACTCCCCGGTGGAATGGCTTTGATTTTTGTTAAAAAATTAAAAAATAAAAGTAGAGAATTGTTGCAGATGGAGATTTGGAGTCATTACTCGTGGAAATGCAAGGAATTTTTCTTGTGTCCTGTTTCAGATATATACAGGTAATCCTCGATTTACGACCACAATGGAGCCCAAATTTTCTGTTTCTAAACAGAACACTCATGAAGTGAGCTTTCCCCCATTTTATGACCCTTTTTGCCACCACTGTTAAGTGAATCCCTGCTGTTCTAAAGTTAGTGACATGGTTGTTAAGTGAATTTGGCTTCCACATTGATTGTGTGTGTTCTTTGAAGAATTACAAAGCCTCTGAGTTCGTTTTGTGATGATTGCATTACTTGGAACCTGACACTTTGCTCTTGAAGCTGTAATTTTGACAAGATAAGCATCGAATTCTTTGCACAGTGGGGCTAAAACACAACAGATCTGGGATCTAAATCATTTTTGTATACAATATCAGCAACATTTGATGCAGAGATATGGTGTATAACTTTCTAGTATATAATTTAGATTTTTTCAAAAAATTATATTTCATCTGTATAAAGAATAAGCCCATCCCACTTCCAAATAGGTGCAGTTACACCTCAAGGCTTCTCTTTTATACTTGCTGGGGGGTGCTGGATGTGGGGGGATGATTTTGTATTCTGGTTGACATTCCTGATTCTGATTTTTTTTAAAAAAATGTTTTTACATCAGGCTTTCTCAGCAGGTCTGATTATAAAGGGAATTTAAAAAAATATTGGAAAAAGGCCAAAACAATCTACTTGCCAGGAAAAAGTACACAGATATTTTTTAAGAGCCAAATTTTACTTGATAGAGAATGTATGTAGGTATTGTATTATGTTTTATTATGTTCTATAGCTGTGTTCTAAAGCGGTGTTTCTCAAGCTTTTTAACTTGAAGATGGGTAGACTTCAAGTCCCAGAAATCCCCACCCCAGCTAACCATCTCTATCTATTGGACCGGATGGAATATGTGCCTACTTCTTAAAAAAGCTATCCACTGCCATAGCCAAACCTCTAAGCATAATCTTTGAAAAATCTTTCAGGACCAGCTCCTTGCCAAAACTATGGTCACAAGCCACAGTCATCCCCATCTTCAAAAAGGGAGACCCCAGCCTAGTTGAAAATTACAGACCAATCTCCTTATGCTGCATCACCTGTAAAGTCATGGAATCAATTATTGACCAATCCATCATCCTCCACTTAGAGACAAACAACCTACTCTCCAATAAACAATTTGGTTTCAGAAAAAAACTATCCTGTAATCTGCAACTCTTACACTGCAAAAACATATGGACGACACAACTCGACCAGGGCAAAGCAATAGACGCAATCTACATAGACTTCTGTAAAGCCTTTGATTCAGTGGTACACGACAAACTACTCCTAAAAATAAAATCCTATGGTATCTCTGGACAACTGAATAACTGGATAGAAGCATTCCTGGCAAACAGACAACAAATGGTCAAAATTGGGAGCGTCCTATCAAATTCTGTACCTGTCAATAGTGGTGTCCCCCAAGGCAGTGTTCTAGGACCAACTCTCTTCATACTCTACATAAATGACCTCTGTGATCATATTAAGAGCAATTGCATTCTTTTCGCTGATGATGTAAAGCTGTTCAATACCACAGACAATACTGCTACCCTACAAAAAGATCTTGACTATGTATCAGAATGGTCAAACAAATGGCAACTTCAAATCTCAACAAATAAATGCTCTGTCTTACATATTGGCAAAAAAAATCAGAAAATAAAATACAAGCTGAATAGTCAAGATCTTGTTGATGACCCAAGCTCTGTAAAGGACCTTGGAATACTCACCTCTAATGATCTAAGTGCTAGAGCCCACTGCAACTACATAGCCAAAAAGGCATTAAGAGTTGTTAACCTAATCCTACGTAGCTTTTTCTCTGGTAATATCACACTACTAACTAGAGCAGGGGTGGGCAAACTTTTTGGCTCGCGGGCCTCATTGACTTTTAAAATTTGACAGACGGGCCGGGTCAGCACAAGATACGATACATATAAAAAACTGCAAAATCTCCGCAAAATCAAGTCACTGCGCCTAATGCGTCACCTGGTGTCGAAATGCCTGTCATTACAAGTCAAAATCAAATGAATGCAATCATTCACATCAAACCTTAATTCTGTACCAATCTTCGGCGGGCCGGATTAAAAAGACCAACGGGCCGGATGTGGCCCGCGGGCCGTAGTTTGCCCACCCCTGAACTAGAGCATACAAAACATTTGCTAGACCAATACTCGAATACAGTTCATCAGTCTGGAACCCACATTACGTTTCTGATATTAGCACAATTGAAAAAGTCCAGAAATATTTCACAAGAAGAGTTCTCCACTCCTCTACTCGTTGTAGAATACCTTATGCGACCAGACTTGAAATTCTAGACCTAGAAAACCTTGAATTACGCCGTCTTCGGTCTGATTTAAGCATGGTATATAAAATCATACATTGCAATGTCCTAACTGTCAATGAATACTTCAGCTTCAACCATAACAACACAAGAGCACACAATAGATACAAACTCAAGGTAAACCGCACCAAACTTGATTGCAGGAAATACGACTTCAGCAACAGACTGGTCAATGTCTGGAATACTCTACCCGACTCTGTAGTTTCTTCCCCAAACCCCCAAAACTTTAACCTTAGACTGTCTCCTATTGACCTAACCCCTTTCCTAAGAGGTCTGTAGGGGGCGTGCATAAGCGCACCAACGTGCCTACCGTCCCTGTCCTATTGTTTCTCTTATTCTTCTCTTATTTTTCTTATATGTACCCATTTCATGTATTCACAACTATGTATACACTTATACTTATTATCTTGTAAACAATTGGCAAATCAAATAAATAAATAAATAAAGCTTGAGAAACACTGTTCTGTATCAATTTAGTAGCTTTATTAGTAGAATGAAATGGTATTCAGATAATACATTGGGCTATAAACTAGCCAGCTGATGTTTAATTTGGTATCTTATGTCACACCTAGCCAAGAAAACTGGGTTAGTTCACTTTTAAATAAGATTTAAAAGATGTAATGGCATTTGACATCATCTCCCAGAATCCTTTGCTGTTCAGGCGCTCTTACTATAAATTCTGTCACCCTCTTCACGTCAGTTGGGGCGAGTTAGAAGAAATTGACGCCTCACCAATCAGAATCCGGAGCTCTTAGCATTCGAGCCAATCAAAGGACTTTTTGCACTTGCCACGCCCGCTCTCCTTTCTAATCCTCCAGCCAATAGGAGTGAACCTATTTCTCACAGGCCGTGTGCAGCAAGCGTTCTCCAGGAGAAAGCAAAGGTCCCCCAGGGCGCAAGCTCTGGCGTTTGACAAATCAGATTCTCGTATTCAGGTCCTGGAGCCCGCCCATCATCTAGTCTCGCTCGTTCCTAAATCATCCCGCCCTCCGAGATTGAGAACCAACGTGCAACGGCGAAACCATGCTTTCCATCTAGGTGACAAAGATTCTGTCCAATGAGTTTTTAACCCGCCTCTATCGCTCCTCCGCGCCAATCCCTTCCCGGAGGACGAATCTCCTCCAATCGCCGTAGGAAGCCGAGAGAGCAATGTAACTTCCAGCCAATAGGACGCCGAGCAGGGCTGTGAGGGACAAGCGGGGCGACCAATCGGCGCCGGCCGCCTTTGTGAGGGAAAGCGGTGGCGTGGAATGTTCGCGAAGCCTCCGACGCCATTGCGCCCCTCAGTGTAGGCCCTCCGCCTATGGCGACCGGGGCCAACGCGACGCCTCTGGGGAAACTGCATCCGCCCCCGCCGCCGGGCAAGACCGGCTATCCGCTTCCTCCTCCCGGATTAGTGATGCAAGGCCCGCCGCCTCCGCCGCCACCTCCAGGCCCCGCGCAGGCCCAGCCTCAGCCGGCCATCCCGAGCCTCATGGCGGCCGCCGGGTTTCCCTTCGCCGCGTTGCCGCCGCCTCCCCCTCCGCCGCCGCCTCCGCCGCCGCCTCAGCAGCCTCAACCACCCCCGCAGCAGCCTCAGCCGCCGCCGCCGCCACCCCCGCAGGCTCAGCAGCCTCAGCCGGCCCAGTACGGCCAGTACCGCTTTCCTTCGCCCCCGCCTCCCCAGCAGCCGATGGGCCTCGAGCAGCCGCCGCCGCCCCAGCACCTCCACCTTCTACAGCAGGACGAGGTTGGCCAGGCCGGGGCCGGCAACTCAGGCAAGTGGGGTGGTAATCGCGGTGTATTGGGGCGGGGGATGTCCCGGTGGGGCGACTCTGATCGCGTCCGAGTATTTGAATGATGTGGTTCTGCTTTACCGCCTTCTGGGCATTTTCTCCTCTCGTTCTAATCTACGACGGTCCGGGTGGCCTAAGTGCCGACCCTCCTTGACCCGTGTCGTCCCCCCCCCCCTTTTTTTTTTTTACAGCAACTGTGGGCGATTTGGGACTTTTATGCAGACTAAAAAGTGCCTTTGAGGCCCTTCCTATTTCTTTTTCATGCATCCTAAATCAAACACGTTAGCCCAGTGTTTCTCAACCGTGGCCACTTTAAGATACTGGACTTCAACTCCCAGAATTCCCCAGCCAGCATGCTTCAAGATTGGTGGACTACAACTCCCAGGAATCCCCTAAGCATGCTTCAAGATGGGCGGACTACAACTCCCAGCATCCCTCAGCAAGCTTGAAGATGGGTGGGTACAATTCCCAACGTTCCCTTGCCCAGCATGGTGGCTGAGGAATTCTGGGAGTTGAAGTCCACCCATCTTCATGCTTCCAAGGTTGAGAAACGCTGCAGAAGCCAGATTTGCCCCTTCCCCCCATTTTCTTTTTCCCCCATAATTAGCCAGTATGCGAACATGTGCCCTATCTTTACAGACAAGCTAGTTATGTGAATTTGTATTTCTTCTCTAAACATGGCCTTTACTAAAATATGCTCACTTCCTAGGTATCTTTCTGTAAATTTTTGTTTTATTTATTTTGCAAGAAGGACAGGATTGCAAACTGCATTCTAGGATTTGGAAATATTGCCATTTCTTTATTAACTTTATCATCTCCCTTGCGGAGGCACCATGAGTGGTGTACAATATTGAAATATAAAAATAGTATTTAAAGTCTGATGAAAGTAGTGTGGTCTATACACAAAGTTGAATTACACTTAAGCAGACTTTTATACTCACACTTAGGCAGGCCAGTGATGACCCATTTGTAATAGAGCATGTCAAGATTGATCAGTTAAAAGGCTATTTAGGTTTTTTCCCCCCTCTGTGGTGTAAGCCATACAATTTGTGATTGTTCACTATATTGAGCAAAGCCAGAACGCTAATTTTGTCCAAGTTAACATGTCCTTTGATAAAAAGTTTGGATATATATCATAAATGTTTTATGCCAACTTTATATCTTCATGTGTTTATTATCTATAAAAGGAATTGTGTGGGATTATCTAATGCTGCCTTGTATCCAAAGAGATTGTTATGTCATAACTGATGACTATTGGAATAATTTTACATGACATCACTAACATGATTATAATAGTTTTTCTTTTACTGTTAATTAAGTGAAGTATCACCTTAGTCTTTGTTGTTTTGAATTTTACTAACAGTCTTTAAAATAATGTACACTTATATTAACTTTCACATTAGACGGGAATTACCGGAAGGAAAATATTAATGAAGCTATAGTATTAAAAAAGAAACTAAAAGACTAAATTTTGTTTTTTAATTACTATAATATAGCACTGTTAAATCATTAAAGACAGTACAATATTTCTCAAGCTTGGAAAGTTTTAAGATGTGTAGGCAAAATGGCATGGTTTAATTTTTAAGTTTTTTACCTGGTTCTTGCTTTGCTGTTCCAATTATAAGATTTATTCACTTTACTCACATCTGAATTTTTATCAAATGATACTAAATATTTGTGCTGGACATATATGTCTAAAGGGGGGGGGGGATTTCCAATTTTGGAGAACTAAAAAAATGGTTTCCTGGTTGTAAGACAGTTGGCCATATTCCCAGTCTGATCTTGCTTATAAGGATTTGGGACAAGAAATGTGTTCGTATGTGAAATATGAAAAGTGTATGTATGCAGGGCCAAAGTTAGCTATATTTCCAACCACATATAGCTAACCACAAAGTTAGCTATATTGCCATGGGATACCTGGTCCTATACATTACATTTTGTTTTGTAGATTACCCTAATAAAAAGAGGAAGAGGAGCAGGTGGAATCAAGACACCATGGAGCAGAAGACGATCATTCCTGGCATGCCCACAGTCATCCCTCCTGGGCTTACCCGTGAACAAGAAAGAGCTTACATAGGTAAATGCTTGTTCTAGTTTTTGTTCTTTATATCAGTACCGATTCAGAAGCAGTTTCCAGTTAACTGTTTGTCTGAGGCATTTTCAATGTGTGTTTTTGAGAACTTTGGTTATGGCAGCCTTGTCTTCCTTATTTAAATAAATAAACCTGTCTCCACTTAAAGAGTGACTTGGGCTCCCTCCCAGCTCCCTGTCCTGTTTAATTGAACCAGTGTCCTCCACAGGCATGGTAGAAGTGGCACAGTCGGTCGAGATGATGGATTAAAACTTGCTGACATTCACTTGATTGGCAAACTTATTGGCAGGGTCTCTGGATATCTTCATAGACTCCTTGCTAGCTGAGAACACTTAAGAATCCCTTTTCAGGCTGTTTTTGTTTGAAAGCAAGTACCTCTTTCGCAGTGAAATATAGCAAACTAATCTAACCATGGTTCCCTTTCATTTTCTCTTGTGTGGTGATGCTAATTTTTCAAATCTAAAATTGAGTATCCAGAATGATGAAGACCAATGAGAAGAAAGTCTTCTAACTTGTTTTGTTTTGTCATCCTCAAATACTTTGAGAGTGGGCTCTGATAGGTTAGCTCTGAGCTCTGAAGTCAAATGTACATACTTGCTGGGAAAGGGATACTGCTTGGTTCAATGGGAATTACGATGTTGGGTCTGTTAATTGTGGAACTGGGGGTGGTAACTGTCATTGTATTGTACAAAGGAATGAACATTGTTTTTATTTTGTGTTAGGAAATGTGATATGTACATGTCAATGTCGATCAATGCGGGACTGAAATCAGCTAGGATTTTCTAATGTTGATTACTATATGCAATCCTTGCCTTTATATAAAACAGGTTTTTCATAACTTACAGCTGTTTAAATTCCTATTTGTTGCATTTGGGTTGCACAGCAATTTTAAAACTCCTTTCTTTTGCATAATTCACTGAGAATTTTGAAATAAAATAATCAGCTATCCATAGCACTACTGAAGGCTGCTCAGAAATCCGATATCAGACTGTCATCGTGATCCCTGAGTTTCTGCATCAAGAAAATGAAAAACATATCATTTAATGCTGGTTTGAAAAATCAATATTTCCACACTGCAGTTGAAAAGGGGCCATTTTCTTTACATTTCTGAAGTTGATTTTTGGCTTATTTCAATGGGCTCAACACTATTCAGTTTAATGAAGATGCACTGTGCAAACTAATTCTGCAGAAAATAAATGATACCGATTCAGCAAACTTATGAATAGTCAAGCATTCTCTGGTGTTTGAGTCATTGGATTTAGAAATGTAAATTTCTAATATTTTTGTAAAATTCAGTTCAGTGTGTGAATGGATAGAATTGGATCAGAATTCTCAGTCTGTGCGGAGATAGGAGTGCCACCCTTCGTTTACTGGAGTGTTCAAGGTGGGCTTTGCAGTTCAGTCAAGAAAGATAATTAATGGGAGGGTGTGGCTCTCCTTAGCCCTACCAAGCAAAGGTCCATGCGCATCCACAAGAATTCAGGGGCATATCTGTAAGAGGCTCCTGATACATGAAACTGCCTGCAACTGGATAATTTATCATTTGCCACTATTAATAGCAGGTATGAAATATCACCTCAGTTTAATAGTGCAAATTCCATTAAAGAGAGAGCAGTTGTGAAAAATACCAGACTCTTCTGAAGGAAAGAGTTTAAAATGTTTGAGATTATGAACATTTGGAAATAGTATAAACTCTAAACTTTTTGGAGTTGTCTGTGTTCTTGAAATATAACGGATCCAAGGAAACAAAACCATATCTTGTAACAGAATCTGAAACGGAGCCAAGCACTTTTACAGGTTCTGAAACAGGAATGCTTGGCCTCTGAATTTTAGGCTCTGTGTTTCGATTCTTGGAAATGAATTCTGTTTTCACTTCTTCACCTTGAGACAAATTATCTAAAATATCTTTTTTGCCTGCCAATAAATAAGATGCTTGATCTTACCCCTTGATCTGCAACATAGTTGCACTTATTCATTTATTTAACAATAAATGAAAGGTTTTTTGACTTGATAAAATGTCTAAAAATTACACATGCCTAAAAATTAATACATAATTCTAGATCCATGCCTTTTACTGCCAATATTTCTATTTGAGCATGAAAATAAAAGTTGATTTGGAAAGACAGATCAGTTCAAAATTATTTTCTGTGTGATTTTATAGAGACACTTTCTGATTACTAAAAAAGATACCTTCTGTGTAGGCTTTGTTTTATTCAGAAACGAATGAATTTTCTTGCTTTGCATCTTTATAGCCCTTCCTTTCTGTTTTGAAAGGTATCCTGCTTGCTAGCATTTGAAAATAAGCAAAAGATAATGAAAAGCAAACAAAATAACCAGTAAAGGAAAAGAATGAAAAATGTTGATAGACCATGGTTGCGTTAATTAATATAATCTCCTAAAAGGTTACAAGTGTTCTACTCTAGTATTCCTGGATCTCTAATGTAGGTTTGGAAATGTATCCCTTGAGGCCTGCTAGGTTTTCTTGTCCTGCCTGATTTAACTTTAAAAAAAATGAAATTAAAAAGTACGTGCAGGAAAGAGTCACATACTGCAGAACCCTGGAAAACAGAAGACAGAAAAGCCTGAGTTTGTCCTTGGGCTCCACGTAGGCCGCCTAGCCCAGTTCTGCTGCTGCTCTCTGGAGCAGAGGGAGTTTAGAACAGCAGCCCCCAACCTTTCCGGCTCCATGGACTGCCGGGGAGCGGAGATGGGTTTCATGCACACGCCCACTGCTTGCACCAGTGGAGCTACACACGTGTGCCTGCTGGTTTCACGGCCCAGTTCAGCCCAGTATTGGGCTACGTACTGCAGGTTGGGGACCCCCTGGTTTAAAGTATCTTGGGATAGTGGAAGAGTAGCAGGGATCAGCCTTGCTAGCTTCCTGCCTGGTAAATGGGTACTTTCTGGTTGGCTGTATCCCCCATGGTACCCATTTCATAAAAGCCATTTCAAATATGCCCACCAGCCCAGTGACATACTGGAAGAACTCTTCTAAGAGCCAGTGGTGTTTTCCCAGTTTTTATCCCTGTAGAAGAGGGACCTTGGTATGGGTGTGCATGAAATGGAAAATGTTTTCTTCTGAACTTAAAACCACCCATCATTTCCCACAAATTACAAGCAATCCTGGACTTTCAACCATAATGGAACCTGCCCCTTACAGTCATAAGTTGTGACTGTCGTAAAACAGGTCACGGTGCGCCAGGATCCGTTTTTATGATCTTTCTTGCACTTCCTTGTAAAGACTGCCACAGCTATAAAGCAAACTGATGATTTGCTGTGGGCCATTTTTGCCAAAAGCCAGAAGTAAACACCAGTTTTTGGCAAAAACATGAAACACAGTCATACGCTAGAGAAGTAGATACTGTATAGATGATAGCATTATTCCCTTTTTCAAGACACTGTTATCTCCCTCTTCCATATTCTTCTACACATGCGACTTTCCATCAAAGAAGTTAAGGACTGTGCTCTGTCTTGATACCCTTCTTTAGTTGATAGTATTAGTTGTCTTAGTTGTCTTGCACTCGGATTCAAATGTTACATTACGGATCTTTTTAAAAAAGTAACTAAATATCTGACATTTATTAGTCCTGCCTTTAGGTATTCATTGTCTCTATGCAGAATTGGATAACCAACAAGTGAAAGAACGCTTGTTAAGATTTTGCATAACTGTGTATTTCAGTGTTTAGTTTATACAGGTGTAAGATTTTATCAATCATACGTTACCAGCATTTAGTATTTATGAGTTAGGAGAAACAAGACGTGTAAACCATAATCCCCAAAAAGATGTTTCTGGTTATGTACTGTAACTATAATACGCATAAGACACTGAGGCTGATCTGATGTAAGAGTAAGAATTAATGATATTTTAATTCCTATGGAAATCTGTCAGCAAGTTACAGCAAGTTAAGATGGTTATTTTTCAGTGGCTTAGATGTCAGACTCAGTCAAAAACTTCCTTTTTAAAAAATCTTGAATTATTGTCTTGCTTTCTGATGAATAATTGTTTTTTAAGACTTGCTTAGAAATAAAAAGGGCCGTTTCTGGATTCCTGGTAAACTTATTTGGCTGACATAACCATTGTAAGGTCTCCTCATTCTTACGTTGATGTTATCAGTCATCCCTTGCAAATTCTCCAGTTCTTCATGCTTTGATGTTGAGATTTCAGATGTTTTTTGGTAACATTGTCTTTTTTTCCATCCTTTTTTCTTTCCTAACCTGGTTTCTTCCAGTGCAACTGCAGATAGAAGACCTGACTCGTAAACTGCGCACAGGAGACCTGGGCATCCCCCCTAACCCTGAGGACAGGTTGGGAAAACAGTTTTAACCAGCTGACAGTAACACTTTTTACCTTTTTCAATAAATTTTTGGTGGCATCATAATGTCAATTCAATGAAGTTCCTTCCTAATGAAATACCTTCAGTGATCTGACTTGACAGGTGGTAGCCAAGATCTGACTGGTAGGGAATGTGTGAAGCCAGACCAGAAAGAGATCAGGTTTCATCTTTGATGTGGGGTTGATAAGCCTGTGTAGGCTGTCATGCTTAACCTGACTTGGAGGGAGGGGGGGGGGGAAATGCATGGTGGCCAACTCATTTTAACATGTGCAGTGCTGGTCCTGGCAGAGTCCAGAGGTCTTTCTCACAGGTTCACGCTGAGGAATTCTCAGCCCAGTTGCTGACTGAGAGCAGTCTGGGAACTTTTTCTGACCGCTGATTTTGCAGTATTTTGCAGTGGTGGCTGAAGGGTGTGCACTAACCAGTTTCTTTGGTAACAGCTACTACATAGCAGTGGCCAGTATCTTGCGGTCTGGGCACTACGTACCTACAAGTGCACAGAATTGGACACCTGTGGTGTTGGGATCAAGGGTCATCCCTAAATAATTAACATGCACATGGTTTGATTTTCAAAAAAAATTGGCTTATTAAAATAATTTATCAGAAGGTATAAGCTGGAAGTTGTGTTTTAGCCACATTATACACAACTTACAAGCCAGTACTTGCTGTTAAAAAATGGGAATATGGAAGAAAGCCTTTCCTTAAATTTAGCCCATCTGAAATGGCAATTTGGAGGTATAAATAAAAGTGAGGCTGCTAAAACTTTTGGATGCCTTGCAAGAGAGTTTTAAATGTAGCTCTTAAGATACTATATTGCCTGTTACAAAGAGCTGTGAAATGCCTTTTTGGCTTGCTTTTTAATATAATGATGGGATTTAGATTTAAACATAATACGTGAACTTCATGGTGGGAGTAGATTGGTGTTCTTTTTATGTTTATAAGAATGACATGGGGTGGTTGGTTTTAATTTAACAGGTGAATGAGGTTAATACAAAACAAGGGGTTATGTTACTCATATATATATATATATATAAGATGTTTGTTGAATAATGTTTCTTTGGATGAGACCATACTGGTTAAAATATTTGATAACTCTTCATTTATTAAAAATGAATTGTTTTATATACTTGCAAAAGGGCATCTGTTATTATTGTAAATGTGAAACCATTAGGTATATAATAAGTTTGAAACTCATAAGGTTTAATCAATTTATTTCATGTCTGCATGTGTCTTTTAAAATTATTAAATTAGTGAATGAGTTTTTTTAAAACTGGCTAGCCATTGCGGATGAGGGACAATGTTCACCTTTTGGGTTGGTTAGGCCAATTTGGGTCCTAGTAATGGAAGTGTAATTTAGACATGATCACTCCTTACCAAACCTGACAATTTTATTTCATATTCTTGTGTTGATGATTCACTTCAGGCTGAGAAGACATGGGGATCAACTGGCTGTAATCAATCACTTTAACCAGCTAGAAAATAGAGATCGTCTAACTAAAATCACAGGGTTTAAATTCTCATTATTTGAAGGATGTATATTTTTTTAACATAACATGACCAACATCTCTTCCCTTCTTGCAGCTGATTCTAAATTTTTATTGCAATATGTTTGGGGGGGGGGGAAGATCCATAATATTAACCAGAATTCTAGAGGTGTGGTTAAAAAAAAATAAGCCATAAGCCCAGCTGTGGTAAAATTAAGTTAATTTTATTTTTAACGGCAACGTTTTCCTTTGTTAAAATCTCTGCTCTCTGGGTACCTGAACCCCATGGAGAAAGCAGGTCTGTCTCTAGTGGTTTTAAAGGCCCAGAACGTGGCATGAGAAGGGTACATTTGCTCAATTTGTACCTTAACCATTTCCTGACACAATAAACAGCTTCATTTGGTCTTGATGCAGCAGCAGAAGGTAAAGCCAGCACAGAAACATTAACCCTTTCACGTGGTGCCAGTTGAATAGGCTTAATCTGTATTGCCAGCAAGAATTTGATAGAAGCCTAACCTGTCTTGTTACTTCCTGATGTTTAAAAAAAAAAAAACAAAGTCCAAAGTTAACCTGAATAATTCTTCATTGATTTATCTCCTGTGGCAGGGTTCTTTCTAATGTATGGCTCCGTGGAATAATGAAGTTGGAAAGTTTGTTCTCTGTGTGAATCAACTTTCTCCATCTTCCCTGCCCCCTCCCCTTTTTTAATAGGCACACTCATGGCAGAGCTGTTGTCATGGCTATGTCTGACACTGTTTTCCTTCCTTCTCCCCCGTAAACCCCCCCCCCCCCCCCCAGATTTTTCCTTCTGGCGGTGGTTTGCCATTAACTGCCTTATCCATGTCACATTAATGGATTTGAAAATTTACACCTTCCTTTCCTGTGGTCTCTTTTAATTTTTTTTTTTCTGAGTTACACTAGAGTTGAGGTGAGCCAGTACTTAATAAGTGGCCTTGAATGTTTTCTCTCCCGTGAGAAATCACTGGACGTTGTTCCCCCACAGGTCTCCTTCCCCTGAACCAATTTACAATAGCGAGGGGAAGCGCTTGAACACCCGGGAATTCCGGACGCGGAAGAAGCTCGAAGAAGAGAGGCACAATCTGATAACAGAGATGGTGGCTCTCAATCCAGACTTCAAGCCACCGGCTGATTACAAGTACGTCAGAAGCTGGACTCCTTGATCTGCAGGGGGCGTTCAGACAGAGCAGGGGTGTCAAAATGGGCGGGCCACGGGCCACGCCCACCCCAGCTCCACAAAGGCGAAAAACGTGAAATGTCACATGACGCGGCGAGTTTGACACCCCTGAAATAGAGGCTAAAGGGCTGTTTGGGAGTCCCCTAACCTCAGTTAACGTGGCAACCTGACAGGCAGACACAATAAGGGGGTTTAAAAGAGTGGCTGCTCCTTATCACCACCAACTTCATCTCACAACAAGGGGGTGCTCTGAACTGACCCTCTTAAAAAAGGTCATGTAGGAACAGTGGGAATACGTGGCATTTCGGTTGCTTTTAATCCTGAAGAGCCTTTGTGGTCCTTTACTGCTGGGCAGGTAATGCTGTCTTGTCTGTACAAATGAACAGCCGCGATGCTGAATTTTAATCTTATCTGTTGTTCAAGTAGCCACACTTGGAAAACTTTGGGATTACAGGTAGTCCTCCACTTACATTTGTGCCAAAAATTTATGTTCCTAAGTGGAAAATTTCTTAAGTCATTTTACAACTATTCCTGCTACACTTGTTAAGTGAATCACTGCTGTTGTAACTTTGAATGGTCACTAAACAAAGTTGTAAGTCGAGGACTACCTGTATTATTTGTACTATTTTTGAGGAAGATACGGTCAAAACTTCGAAGTTGTCCCTACTTCTAGCACGTCTTGACACAAGAGACTCTTGGAGTCCGTGCAGTCTTGTTTTATGAGGGAGGGAAGAGTGTGTAAATGTTTCTTGTCCGTTCTTTCCAGACCTCCGGCAACTCGAGTGAGCGATAAGGTGATGATTCCGCAGGATGAATATCCTGAGATTAACTTTGTTGGGCTTCTGATTGGACCAAGGTATGGAAATGCTTCAAGGATGATGGGGACGGGGTGGGGGGAGTGGCGGTGGCAGATGCATAAAATGGTGGTGGCAGTGCGTTACCCACACCTCCAGCGGGGCAAACGTGCTCTGTGATTCTAGATGAAGTATGGAAAGTATATTTTCCTGACATAGCCTTTAGTGGTTTTAATCTAAGGGGAGGCTCATCTAGAACCCATTGCATCATTCCCTGGTGGCTAGAATGCAGTATTGCAGGCTAATTCTGCCAACTGCCAGGAGTTCCAATTCATACCAGGCTCACGGTTGATTCAGCCTTCCATCCTCCCGAGGTCGGTAAAATGAGGACCCAATTGTTGGGAGCAAGAGGCTGACTCTAACAAACTGCTTAAAGAGGGCTGTGAAGCGGGATATAAGTCTTAAGTGCTGTTGCTATTCCTTTATATAGTGAGGTACCATTTCCCAGACTTGAGGCTGTTACTGGTGGAAACTCTTTCTCTGTTAAACCAGGTTGTCCAGCATTGGCTGCCTGATGTAATCTCTCAATCCCTTTTCAGGGGCAACACACTGAAAAACATTGAAAAAGAGTGTAATGCCAAGATCATGATCCGGGGTAAAGGATCCGTGAAAGAAGGAAAGGTCGGACGGAAAGATGGCCAGATGTTGCCTGGCGAAGACGAGCCCCTGCATGCTTTGGTCACTGCCAACACGATGGAGAATGTGAAGAAGGCTGTGGAGCAGGTAGGCCGCGTGGGCCTCTTGGGCTTGGGGTAAAAAGATACGTAGCCCTGCCCTCGGAAGCAAGGCAGGCACATCACGCCGAGTTATATCCAAACTACCCCCTCAAACATGGTGACCAGAGGATAAATGCAGCTTCGGTAAAGCATCATTTTAAGAGTGAAGCGGTGAGACAAAGCAAACATGGAATATTTGGGATATACAATTGGGGATGCTGCAATGGCTGTCACTTTAGAGGCAGAAACCGTCATTCTGAACAGTTGCTGAAGGAAGAGCCGTAATGCAGGACTGCCCGTATTTATTTCTCAAATGCCTTCGTTACCTTGTAGCTAGCTAGAAATGGAAGTGATGTCCATGGCTTGACCTTGTGGAACTGAAGATCTCCCTGCAGTTGTGTTGGGACTGCACACGTCTCGGCCGGTAGAGCTTCCAGGCGTCGCAGTCCCAAAACCTGAGCCACACGAGGTTGGGAGGGAGAGTTCAGACCATGTTCATCGCCATTTCCAGGAAGTGCATCGCCTAAGTACCAGGAAGACGTGTTCCATCCCGCAGGATAGTTAGGCTTTCCGTGCCAGGATGCTGATGTTCTCAGGCCAAGTCCATCAGGAAGAAGACGCCAGGGTTGCCATAGAAACTAGTGAACGAGCAGTAACCGAGTGGGTGCCAAGGATCCCCCCCCCCCCCCGAAACCCACTTTTCTTCCTAAGCCTGATCAAATGTCAGTCCCTTGTATGGTCTTCCAGAAGAGTAGAATTGAACACCATACAATAGAACTTTATTGTCTCTTCAAATGTACGCTAATCTGCATACATTAACATGAAATTGCATTGCCTTCAGCTCTCAGAAGATGACCATTATGCACATACCCCCCACACACCTATGACACAGGGAAACATTGCAGTCTTTTTTTTTCAAGGGAGGGTCTCTGATTTAGCAGAAAAGGTAGCAGAAGTTAAGGCTTTGCCTGGAATGCCTCTCAAATTATTTGGCTGTTTGTCAAGTGGAGGCAAGAGACTATTGGTCTTAGATGGGTTCTTGGGCCGTCACCTTTCAAATTGGGAGGGGAGCAGCAAAAGGTTGAGGGACATTCCTCTTGGGTGGTGAGCCACATCCCTGGACGGGGGTGCCCAGCTGTGTTTCCCCAAAGGAAGGTGGCCGCTCGGTCCTCTCCCTGGTGCTCTTGAGAAGACTCGGGGAAGGGAGGCAGAAACCACGTGGGCCTTTTGTCTCCCCCAGATCAGGAACATTCTGAAGCAAGGCATTGAGACCCCCGAGGATCAGAATGACCTGCGCAAGATGCAGCTGCGGGAGCTGGCCCGTCTCAACGGGACACTGCGTGAAGATGACAACAGGTAGTAGGGGTTGGGGACAGCCTGGGTGGGAGGCTGCAGGGAAGAGCCCTTTCTCCTTTAGCCCGGCTCTGATTCGTTTCTCTCTCCTCTGAAGGATTCTACGTCCATGGCAAAACACGGAGACTCGCAGCATCACCAATACCACCGTCTGCACCAAATGTGGGGGAGCCGGACACATAGCATCGGACTGCAAATTTGCCCGGTAAGCCTCTGAAGTCGCTTCGCCGTCCTCTGGGTTTCTCCTTGCGCTGAATTGCAGTGCCCTTGCCGTGCTCCCTTGGAGGAATCTGCTCAAGGCCTCTGCAATTCGGCTGTGTGCTAATGATCCCCCAGGGTGTTGGGGTTTGTCAGCCCTCCAAGGCAAACCAGACAGGAAGCACAGCCCACACGAGCACCTAAGGCTGCATGAATACAAGCGTGCCGGTCTGAAGGTGCCGACGGCCTGCTGCTGCTTTTAGCTGCCTGGTCCACATGAGGGCCGGTCCTGTCAACCCTGCCATGGGCTAAACCAGGAAAGGAAACTCCTGGCACCTCTTTTGAGCAAGAGTAATCCCTTTACCCGAAGATTCCTAGGGGTACAGAAGCAGAAAAGCCAATTCGAACAGTTTTGTGCGCAAACTTCCCCTTTTCCTCTGATTGTCCTACTTCATCTAGCCAATCGTTACACTCGCTTTCTTTTGGGGACTGTCTCCGCCTCGGACTTTCCCAGCTGATGACTTTGGGGTGCCGGATTTGTCTCACTTGCATTCCTTTGCGCTCCCTGATACCTCCCCCTGCATTCTAGTGCTCTCCCTCCCTCCCTCCCGCTGTTGCTGCTCTGGTTGGGAGCCGGGTTTCCGTAGGGAGCCAAGCATGACAGGCCCTCCTTCCTAGGTGTCTGGCTCTTATAAATCATGGGGGGCTCCTGCCTCCCATTGCTAATCGTAGGCTAGGCACCATCTATCTCCCCCAGGGCCTTCCCCACATTTTAGTGCAGTGTGCGTGACATCAAGCATCATTTTTCTCTGGACAGGCCTGGCGATCCCCAGTCGGCGCAAGATAAAGCCCGCATGGACAAGGAGTATTTGTCTCTGATGGCTGAACTGGGAGAAGCTCCGGTACCGGCTTCCGTGGGATCCTCTTCCGGACCCTCGAACCCTTCCCTGGCCAGTGGCCCAAGACCGTCGGGGCCAGGAAGCAGCCAGCCGCCTCCTGTGAGTACCCGGAACCTTCCACGGGGGGAGGTGTTTCCCTAGCGGGTGTCCCATGACGGGGGCAGTTGCATCTTTTGCTCGGCTGCCGACCTGCGGCTTGGATGGGGACGTCCCAGTGGCGTGATGGTCCCTCCTCGCTCTCCGACGGTCGGTCTGACCCTCCTTTCCTGCGTTCCTTCCTCCTCTTAGAGCCGCCCCCCCTGGATGAATTCTGGCCCTTCGGAAAGCAGGCCCTTCCACAACATGCACGGGGGCAGCGGGGGCGGCGGCAGCAGCGGGAGCGGCAGCGGGAGCAGCGGCGGGGGACCCACGGGCCCAAGCGGCCCCCACAATTTCCCTCACCCCATGTCGAGCATGGGGGGGCACGGGGGCGGCCACCCAATGCAGCACAACCCCAGCGGGCCCCCGCCTTGGATGCAGCCTCACAACCCCCCCATGAACCAGGGGCCACATCCCCACGGGCACCCTGGCCCCCACCACATGGGTGAGTACAAGCCAGAAACCCCCAAGGGGGGGGGGGAGGCCAGGGAGCCCCCCTTCCTGGGCCTACTGGAGGGGAGGGGGGGGTTGGAGGGCTCGTGGCGAGCTTGGTCCCGGGAAGTGGGGGGGGGCTGCTTTCTTCCCGCCGTTGCTGAGGCTGCGGTCTCTCCTTCCCTTAAGATCAGTACCTGGGCAATGCGCCAGTGGGCTCTGGGGCCTATCGCCTCCAAGGAAAAGGTGAGTTGCGGCTTGACGGGGTCCTGCGAGGCGAGGGAGGGAGGGAGGGGGAGAGCAAA